AGTTTTGTGGGGCAGAGGAACTGTGCTGAGCTGTGCGTTGCACTAATGGCATTGGGCGCAGAATGAGTCATCACGGTTTTTATTTATTCATTCATCCTTAGATCCTTTTAAGAGTCTCCGAGGCCCTAATGACCATCATCATTATCATCAGTAAAAACTGCTTTCTGGTGAAAAGGCAATAGGCCTTTTAGAGGCAGCATTAAATTATCAGTAAAGAGGACTTGAAATAGTACTACACGCATAGTCCTGGACACAACATGCTAGAGGTTCATATAGCGCCAGCCCAAGGATATTTTTTCTATTGATCTTTAGAGAGAGTGGAAGGGAGGGAAGGGGAGAGAGAGAAAGAGAAAAACATCGATGTGAGAGAGACACATGGATTGGTTGCCTCCAGCACGCCCTGGGGAATGAACCTGCAACCCAGGTATGTGCCCTTGACCAGGAATCAAATCCAAGGCCCCATCCGTGCTCAATGACCCCACTGAGCAACACTGGCCAGGGCACAATCTTCTTTTTAAAGTTTGTGATTCAAACATTCTCTTCTCCTCTACAAAGCAATATCATTTAGTTCAGGAGAAAATAAAGTATAGGCCGGCCAGTGCCTATGCTTCAGTGTTAAACATTGGCAGTCAAAAGAAGGTTCTTAATTACAAAGAAAATTTTAAGAATTATCAATATCAAAACTTTATTTCAAGCGTTTCCCCTACCTACTACAATTCCTTGCGTGTATTCAATAAGCATTGTCCAAAGGGGCAGGTGAAAAAAATCACTGAAAGTGTTTCAAACTAAACCTCACTAAGTTCCTTCTGTCTCAGAAGTATTCTGAATATTCCATTGTCATTCAGCAAACACAACAGAGGCTTTACTTCTCTGTCTAATCCCCAGCAGCAGAATGAGGACTAGATTTACAGAGCCAAGTTCCACTCATTTGGGGATGAATTTAGTGTGGCGTCTGGCAGCATGGGAAAGTTAGTACCTTGTGATCCGCCCAGAGGGTCCTTACTCTTGGCTGTCCCTGCGTCTTCTCTTACCTCCAGTATCCCTTTACAACTGGGGCAGCTGATGCAGTTCAGAAGGTTCTCCAGAAGACAGCAGACCAGAGAAGATGACTTCTTTCCTTTGTGGGAAACATTGTAGGTTCCTGCAAAGTGTTCTGAATTTTAACAAGGCTGTTAGAGGTCATTCTTTGCTATAAATGGCCCATTGCCTTAAACTCTATCTAAGCTTAGATGTTGCCGGATTTGATTATTTAAAGTAGGTGGTTAGGTATTTGAACTTTCTGCCTTGTAAAAACAAAGCAAAAACAAAACAGACATAAAATCCCAGAATGGAACAAAATGAGTACCATATAATGTAAAATGTAACTTTTAGTACAGGCTATTGTTGACAAGTGTTTCGTCTCTATTAACATGGTTCTTTTTAATTTTGTCAAATATATTTTTATCAAGAGTGACAAATATTTTTTAAAAAAACAACTGGCTATGTCTCTGAAGCCTCAGTGTCCTTTTCTGTAAAATGGAAATGAGTAGCCTTGTCCACATTTAGGGTGCCAATGGTGATCCACTGAGATAATATGTGTGGAGGTGGTTTTGTCCATTGTTGAGTCTTATATTAATGCAGGTTGTGGCTGTTGTGTTTGCTGCTCTTCTTCTGAGATTTCTACTGGCTTTAAAAAGGGTATCCCTGGGGTTTCGCTCGCTATCACATACTCTAATAAACAGGCTTTTGTTAGCCCCCGAATGTAAAAGCATACTTTACAGATATGTCTAGTGTTATTGTGGAGTTTTACAAGTAGATTTCCCTAACCCAGGCACAGGCTGGAGCAGAGGTCGTTGAAGGGAATCCACTTTCATGAACACCCTTAGCTCTTTAGGCCCCTTAGTATTTCTAAAAAATGGAAAATATTTCCGACCTTAATCAGAGCCTTTCCTTCTACTACCACCTTTTGCAAATGCTTATCTCCTTTCAGCGCCTCTTCCCCGCTGCTTCGCAACCTCCAGCTCCAGCCTCCGCATGGGAGCAGACTGACCAACGCCTCGCCCTGGGAGCAGGCTGAGGGCGGATGGGGTCCCCTTTGGAAAAACAGTTCTGCAATTTGATGTTTTCCAACATTCTTTTTGTTGTGATTCTTAGCATCGGAATGCAAGCATTCCTCGTTTCTAAAGAGCTTTGCGCGAAGGGTAGGTGGGTGTCTCTGCAATCTTCCTTATTAGCTGCGGCATCATTGCTGCCTTTTTTGTGGGCTTTTTGTTGTTTTGTTTGTTTTGGTGCCAAAACCCAGGAATAAACTATTATCATCTTTTTAACTCTATAAAATGTTAATGGAAGCCTAAGGGGTATGTTATATTGCTGTGATTAACGATTTTGAGCTTAAAAAAATCATTCTTAATTATTGGTTTCAAAAGTGAAATAATGTTCTGCTTTGTCATTAATTTTAGCAAGCATGTTTTAAAAAACCCAGTACATAGTAGAAGTTCTCTTAATGATGTTCTGACAGTAATTTGATTGTATTTGGTACTCTAAGACCCAAACTTATTTGAGATGAGATGTGTAATAGTTAAATTTTGTAGACATATGGAGTTTTACTGATCCTTGGAAGTTTCTGGAGAGCTCAAAGCTTTGTAAATCTTGTATATCTTACACTGCAAAGCTGCAGTGCTGAAATTTTGTTCAGATTATAAAATAAGATTGGCTGGCTAAGTAGACTTGGGTCTTCTAATTACTGAACTCACTGATTTAGCTAAACACAGTTCAGCTAATTAAAGGTTTAAGCAATGTTTGCAGTTAAAATAACCTCTGGGCTCAGCACTTGCTCTATACTTGGAGCAAAAGATTCTTAACCTCACAACAGATAGAGCTGAGTGCTGGCAAATTCAATTTCATACAGCATTTATGAGTATATTTATAGAGAACTGAAATTAATTATGTAGAACAATTTGAGTTTCAATACCTATAGTTATGGAACTTGGAACTGTGCAAAACGGGGAGCCTTTATTGTTATTGATATGCTTGAAGCATTTCCCACCAATTCTTCCCTCCTTGGCAAATTTTTATATGGTTTTTAAAATGTTTTTCTCTTCAACATTAATTTTAATTCCCTATAAGTCAATCAAAGAGTGTTTTCTGCCAGAGTAAACCATGTAAGAAGTTTTGCACAAAACTGAGGATTCAGGTTTACAAATATTTATTGGGGTACAAAGATCAGTAAGACAAAATCCCTGCCCACTTGTGACCTAAGTCAGGATAAAGAGGGGCTATGTAACGAAGGTGCTTGGCTTAGGGCTTGTCAATTTGTGAGGCTAATAGTCCTAAGTATTAATCTGGAAGAGGCCTACAGAGCATTTCTTTATCACCCACCCTTTACCCACACAGTTCAGAAAAGTCCCACTTAAGAGAAAATATTATATAACTAAACTTAACAAACAGGTAAATTGAGGGGAGATGGCAGGGGTAGACTTATTCTATTACAAACGATTCACTGTTAAATTGACAATACACCTGATTACTTCAGCCTAAGCCAAAGGATGGATGTAAGGTGCAGGGTGAAAATATGGCATGGAACTCTGCTAAAATTTGACTTTCCTCTCCGCCCACAAAAAAACTATATTATAATTGAAAATAGAATATGGGCAATGAATCATTTTTATATCAAACTGTTAATTTAAGATGAATGCATTTAAAAGAAAAAACTGGGAAACAGTTGCTGGCTGCATAGAGGAGGAAATTTCATGGCTGATTCTCACAGTTTTTGTTACGAAAGCAATGATTTTGCCAAGTTTCATAGTTCAGGCATCAGAACTCTGCTGCTGTCCCCCAAAAATAAAAATAAATAATAACGAGTTAAATTCGTGTTTGGGGAAATGGATGCGGTTGTAATGTATGCGTGCAATTAAGCAACACTGACTTGATTCACTGTGATGTCTAAAATGGCATTTTAATAAATGAAAGTAGCTAAATTTGGCCCTGATAAAATATATAGCGGCAATGGGTTAGGAATTTTGCAGTTTTGCCCAAAGAGTCCAATCAAACAACCCATATATTAGGTGGCTGTTAACACGCTGGCAGCTGAATTTTTTATATCAGTTTCCAAGGTTGCACAGTAATTACATCTACTGTGAGTCATTTTTGCAGCATATTTTATAAAACTTTTACAGGTTTGCCGGGAAGGGATTATTCAAAGTCACCTTTTATAGATTCTGCCATGAATATTAGATAGTTCTTTGAAAATGTTAGTGTTTACCACTTATATTGCTTCTGGTTTAAGAGCAGTTGGCATTTGGGGGTTAGTATAGTATACGAGGGGAGCTTCCTTTTCTGTGAGGACCTTCTGTTCCCCAGCATTGCTAGTTTATGCTCCTACTGAGCTGCTGCCAGAACAAAATAAATCCAGTTGCCTTTTGCTGCTCAAGGCCAACCTGGCAACCACGGGAAGAATTAGTGGTCCTGAGCATTTGTGCGAGGATGTCGCTGGAGGTCGGTGCTGTGCAGTTTCACCATGATGCCGTCCACAGAGGGTTTGCTCATTTGAACGGCAGGTTTCGTATTTTGGTGCGTGCTTTGTTCTTACTCCCACTTATATTCAGTCAGTGCCCAGAGATGTATTTAAGACTGTGATTAGATAAACTACTCAGCATAACTTTTAGATCCACTGCTTATTAAGTCAACTGTGCGTTAGTTTATTCTATCTGCGTTAGTACATTTTCACAGCTGAGTGAAAAGTCCTGATTGCTTCTTCAAATTAATACTTTAAACATAGCTTGCTGTTTTATTTCAGGGATGGTATTATGGTCATCTTAGAATATGAAGGCAAGGAAGAAAAATATGATGGTACTGGAGATGAAGCACGATCTTAGTGGGAAGCGACATCAGTATTGGAATTTAGGATGGAGGAAGATAAATGGCAGCAAAGCTGGAACTCTAAGGAAAGCAAAAAGCCAAGAGGGAAGGGAGCAAAGTGGTCTCCTCTGCTGGAGTCATCAGCACCCTCAACACAGTTTTCCATGAAGCTCAACTCTAGCGCAAAAGGTGTGTGGAGGTGGGGAAATCATGGTTGTCACAGTAGAACCACCCTCTTTCACTCTGCTGCTCCCTCAAGGATCCCAAAAGCACATGTCATTTTGGTTTCTCCGCGCATTTCTCACCATTTTTGCAAGCGCGGTTGTAAGCTCTGCTGACATCTCTACCTTTGCCACTTTGAAATCTTGGTTTACAAAGAACTAGTCCAAGCCATTGTGCCATTTGTTTGGTTTTTCCCTTCTCTTTCCAAGGAGAGCATATTTTTGAAAGCAGGTTTCAGAGCTTGAAATTCATAAATAGCAATTTCATATCTTTGGGAAAACATTTGGAAATTTTATTCATTTATTCAACACATGGCTATTGAGTATTTGGTGGAAGCTCTTTTAGGCATTGGGGATTCGGTGGTAAACAGATCAAAGATCTTGCCCTCATGGAGTTTACATTCTGGTGGAAGAGAAAGTTGGCAAATAAATAAATTATTGTAAGTGTGATGGAGATAAATAGAGCAGGGCAAGGGAGAAAGAATGACAGGTAGTGGTTATTTTAGGTACAATGCTCGGGAGGAGACTTTGTGAAGAAATGCCATTTGAACAGAGGCCAAGAAGTGAGGGAGTGAGAATCACAGGGCTCTGGGAGAAACATCTGTCAGAAGGAATAAGTAGTCCTTGTAAAAGCCCCAAGGAAACAACAAAACTGTCATATGTTGAAGCAGCATATGTAGCCAAAGCAAAGCAAATAAACAAAAAATTAGAAGGAAATAAGGATGGAGGTACAAACAGTGGCCAGATTATGGAGGTCCTTTGAAATCACACTTTGGTAGTTGGATGTTATTCTCAGTATTTGAGGCTACCACAAATGTTTTGGGCAGAGAAAATAACACTTTTTAACTTACCTTTCTAAATGATATCCCTGACTGCTGTGTGGAGAACACTGAGTTGGTGTTGGGGATGGAGACATGGAAGAGTAGGAGCAGGAAGATCCATTAGGAATCTTTGCAGAAGCTTATGCTAAAGGTGGAAATGTCTTGGACTACATTGGTAGCAGTTGAAGTGGTGAGAAATGGTCAAGATTCAGGATATATTTTGAAGGAAGATCTGATAGAATTTTTTAGTGAATTTGGATAAGGAGTATGGAGGGGAGGGGGGAATCAAGGATGCCTCTTGGCTCTCTGGCTTGAGCAAGTGGATACATACTGGTGCTACTTATCAAAATGGGGTAACCTGGGGAGGAGCAGGTTGGAAGGCAAAGGGGAGTATATTAATCAGCTCCAGTTGTCATAAAAAAAATGCTATAGACTGGGCTTAAACAACAGATTTATTTCTCACAGTTCTAGAGACTGGTAAATCTAAGATTGAAGTGCCAGCTGATTTGGTTTCTGGGGAGGGCCTTCCTACTGGCTAATAGATAACTGCCTTCTTGTTGTGGAGATAGATAGAGATAGATATAGAAAGACAGAGGTAGAGATAGACAGATAGAGACAGATAGAGATAGAGAGATATAGAGAGAGACAGAGAGAGAGAAAGAGAAAGAGACAGATCAAGTTCTCCAGAGTCTTATAAGGTCACTAATCCAATCAGAACAAGACTCCACCCTCATGGCCTTATCGAACCCTAATTACCTCCTAATTCTGCCCATCTCCAAACACCATCATTCTGGTATTTCGGGCTTCAATGTATTGATTTGGTGGATGGAGGTGGAGACACATTGAGTCCATAACTGGGAGATATGGTTTTGGCCATTTTTTCTGCTTTTCTTTATTGCAGATGCAGACATATCTATCAATCATTCAAGTGAAGATGAGTAGACAGGTACAGGGAGAGCTTGAGGCTAGAGATATAAATTTAGAAGGCATCAGCATATAGACTTTAAACCACAAAGGGATGAAAACACCTAGCAAGTCAAAGGCAAAGGAAAAATGACTGGGGCTCCTCTTAGAAGTGAAGGAGTTTTAGAATTCAGCAAAGGAGACTAAGAAGGAGAGGCTTCAGAGGTAATAGGAACGCTAGCAAAGCGTGGTGTCTCAGAAACCAAAAAAAAGAGTGTGTTTCAAGAAAGAGAGACAGCTTAACTGTGTCAAATTCTGTGGAACAGTCAAGTAAAGTGAGAACTAAGAGCTGACCATTGGATTTAGCTAGAAGGGGAATGCTGGGGATTCTGATGAGAACGGTTTCTGCAGCGTAATGGAGATAACAGCCTGAATGGAGCAGGTTGGAGCAAAAGGGAAGGGAAGAGATGCAAGGGAAGAGTATAAACACAGACACCTCTTGAAGGTTTTACTGCAAGGGAGAGCCAAGAAATGGGGCGATAGAGGGGATGTGGGATGTAGAGAGAAGTATTTTTTTCATGGGAGATATTACAACCTGTATTTATGTGATTGGGAATTATCCAGTAGAAAGGTGCAAATTTAAGATACAAGAGAAAGGTAAGGTAATTGTAGAAGTGAAGTCCTGGGTTGGTCCGGATGGGATTGGGTTCCTGTCCAAATGGAGGGGTTGACCTCACTTAGGAGCATGATTCCCAGTGTAAAGGAAGAGAAGGCATGGAGACAGGTTTGGTGATGGGAAGATGAACTAGGTCTTCTTTTTCTCAATTCTGAATTGAAATAAGAAGCAAGATCATTAGCTGAGAATAAAGAGGAGAGGTGTGTTTGTCAGAAGATGAAGGAAAAAGGAAAGTGTGCTGTGAAACTGTTAGTTTAGAAAACTGAAGAATAAATTGACTAAATAAATGTGATAGGGTTGTTGATGGTGCATTTATGATCAGTGAATATAAATCCAACATGAGACCAATGAACATTTCTCTACTTAAAATGTAGTCAGTCTGTGTTTTTTTACTGGCCACCTTTGCTATTCGGGAGTAGGTAGAGAGTTGGGTTTTAAGGAGATTAGAGTTTTGCTAGGTGAGCAAGACAGAAGAAGAGAGAAAGTATTTTTAAAAAATTATTTCCAGTTGTCTTTTGCTCAAACCAATTTCCTCAAGACCAATTGTGTATGCTGGAACGTAGGCGTTCAATTTCTTTCTTAGTCATGCCATAACTAAAGAATTCAAAAGCTGAAAAATAGCTTTCCCAACATAACTACTATAATTTCTTCTATCGCTTATTTAATTCAAGTTGAAGACTTTGTTTTTTTTACTAGCTTTTCTTACATAATACATAACAGCATACATTGTAGAGAAATAATTATGGATGTTATTAACATTGGTACTTTTGAGTTTCAAAACAACTTGTCATAAGAATGTTCAGAAAAATATGCTATTCAAACAAGGAGGTTTATTTAAAATGATTCAGATTATATTTAGTGAATGCATATAACTGTAATTCCATGAAAACCATAAGTGAATTTATTTTTATTGAGAGCCATGATGAAGGCAGCAATTCAAATACTGATTAATCAAATCCATGGGGTGGGGGGAGGGGGGAGCTTATATTGTCCAATAGAGATTTTAAAAAGCAGAGATCATTATGCTAAGTGAAATAAGCCAGGCAGAGAAAGACAAATACCACATGATCTCACTTATATGTAGACTCTAAAGAACATAATAAACTGATGAACAAAATAGATTTAGTGACATCGAAGCATGCATCAGACTGACGAATCTCAGAGGGAGGGTGGGGGAGGGTAGGGGGGATGGGAGAGATTAACCAAAGAATCTATATGCATATATGCATAACCCATGGACACACACAATGGTGTGGTGAAGGCCTTGGGTGGGGGATGGATACAGGGTAGAAGGGGTCAATGGGAAGAAAAGGAGACATCTGTAATACTTTCAACAATAAAAATTAAATAATAAATAAATAAATAAGTAAATAAATAAATAAATAAATAATATAAATATAAAAGCAGAGATTTTAACCTTCTCCATTCGAAATGTAGCCTTTGGTCTCACCTCTTTTCTTTTTTTTTTAGTTTCTGCCCTCCCATTTCCTCTAGAGAGGGGCTAAGATGCAAACTGGGAGCATGCAAGTAAAGAACTGGGGACTATAGAAATACAAAAGACAGGAATGTGTCACAGTTGGAGCTTAGACAATGTCAGATGGCCTCTTCCCTTCCTGCCTGGTTGGAACATGGTAGTGTTTAAGTACTGCCTAGGGAGCCTAAGACTGCAAGTTAAATTTTTTTTTTAATAGAAAAAGCAAAAAGATTATCAAGCTAGAGGATTTGATACAGGTTTCTTTGTTTGTTTGTTTTGTTTTAACTGGGTAGATTTGGGATCCTGCTTAGTAGTTTCCTTCGACATTTGGTTGCTGTAGCTCCATGTCAAGGCCTAAAATTTAGGAAACCGGCTCATTCTAGGCTCTTAGTTTAAGGAGAACGAGGGGGGCGGAAAAAAACACATTTCAATCCCTTTCTTCATTGTCCAACTAGTTTACAGGAGCAGGAATGGCAACTAAGATTCAGGGTGGATACCTTATTCAGAATTAAAAGGTAGCCAGCCAATAGAAGTATTCATTCTGTATGTTTTTCGTTGTTAACTTGATTATGCATGCACAGGAGCCTAAGACCAAGATTAAACCTCAACTCTAGCCATGGTGGACAAGCTTGAAAGAAGAGCCAGAAAATAAGGTAAAGGGATACTAAAACACAGTTTCTTAGAACTTCTGTTTCAATAGTCTCCTGTGGATTTGCTGCTTACTTACTATCAGTGGTTCTTAACTTTGGGGGGATAGGGGTAGTCACGGGTTCCTTTGAGAATTTAATGAAGACTATGATCCATCCTCCCCTCCACACATACACATCCTAAAATTTTAAATATATACATAAAATTTTGAAAACAATGTCAATAATTCATGACTAAGATAGGGGGTTATGATCTTAAATATGATTTTATAATAAGTGGTTATTATCTTTAAAATGATCCTATATGTTCTTTTTTTAAAAAAATAAATTTTTCAAGCACAACAGAGACTCGGATACAGAGAACATTTTGACCATTGTCAGAGGGGATGGGCGAAAAAGGTGAAGGAATTAAGAAGTACAAATTGGTAGTTGCAGAATAGTCATGGGAATGTAAAGTACAGCATACGGGATATAGTCAATAATATTATAAGAACTATGTATGGTGTCAGATGGGTACTAGATTTATTAGGATGATCACTTTGTAAGTTATATAAATGTCTAATCACTGGGCTGTACACCTGAAACTAATATAAGATTGTATATCAGCTGTAATTGATCCTATCAGATCTTTAAAATGCAAGCAGCCATTAAGTTATTTATGAGGTGAAGTTCTGAATTTGACGTGGGAGTGTAATGATGTCTTGGGTATGTGTTTTTTGTTAAACATTTTGATTTTCTTCAAAATTTGAAAGGCTTATATGCTGAAACAAGCAAACAAAAAATTAGAAGAACCACTGACTGAAAAGTTTATGGCATGGTAAAATAACACCATCAGAAATATTTCCAGATATTTTTAAGGCATAATGGTCTGTATTCACCCTTCTTAGTCTCAGTCTCATCTCATGTTATAGAAACTGCTTTTCTGAAACAGATTCTATAATGATTCTGGGTAATCAAGATCCAATCTACAAACTCAAGACTATAGCCGTGTCTGTCAAATATTTCAGGAAACAATGGTTTTCTAAAATCTCCTCAATATAGTTAGGAGGAAGTTCTAACTCTGTAATAGGCATCTCCCTTATAGATATTTAACTTAATGCCTATTTTCAACAAACACGAAGCACCTATAAACTAACTGCATCTCTCTATTTGAGGCCCACTGGGGTTTTCCTGTGTGTCAGCCTTCAAATAGCAATACGATTGTAAGGGCACAGGTAAAGAAAGTAATTAGATCAAGACAGATAATCCATGTCTCCACATTAAAACAAAGATGAACATGGAGCCTTTCTCAAACAACTTGAATAAATTTATTTCCCTGGACTGTATGTCCACCTTTCACTCCCCTTCAAATAAGTGTGCCCCATTCCACCCTGTGTCCCCTGCCCCCAGCCACACACAAGCACAGGCTAAAAGTTCAGTAGTGGTGTTTTAACCTTAAACAAAAAAAAAATTCATTACAACTATTTTCTCACATATTATACTACTTAAAATAAGAGAATTTAAATGTTAATGTTCCAGTTCAAAAGGAAGACTTCAGTTTATGCTTTCTAATGTTTCTAATCCTCAAAAATTAGCTTCCCAAATGTATTCCATTCGCCATTCATGTTCTACTTGCCTTTGTACAACTTATGACAAAAACAAGTATAAAACTTTGGCCCCATAAAATCAGTTTTTGCATTTTTTAATTATAAAAAGAAATCTTGATATAGACCATATATTTTATAATCAATCTGAGAAAAAAAATGCTATAGTTTTCTTAAATCTGGGCTGGGTTTCTATAATGGAGATTCCAAGAGTCATTAAACTTTTAGGATTTCCTTAATTTCTCAAACGTGAATCTCATCAGAGATGAAAGAACATCAAGTTATTGAAGTGTTATCTGTGGGGGGATGTTAGTCAGACACCAAGTTCACTCCTTCACTCTAAAAAATAGAGGTAACTCTGCAATATAATGACTTTCAAGATAAATTTTATTTAGTACATTTCAGACTATGTCCAGAACATATAAACATTTAAAAATGGGTACAGGTCTAATTTATTATCAGTGAAACAAATATGATGCGATTCAAAGTAGTAACAGTAACATCTCATAAAATAGTTTTCTCCTGGAAGAACGTGTGATTCAAACAGGATTGAACTTCCTCTGTGATTCCCTCTTTCCTGAATGTGCCCCAGCCTCCCTCAAACTCAGTGTCACTTCTATATGCACATTCAAATATGATAAATGTCATCTGTGCACGTGTTTCACCTAAGGACAGCCAAGCCCTTGGCCAACACAATGCGAGGCCTGGAGATGTGTGGCCACCTTTTGCCCTTCACCTTGGGGATTCACGGAACACGACAGGGCAGTGTGGTAGCAAGGGCAGTGCACCAAAAGTTGCAAAACGCAGCTCCAGCCCTGGCACTTTAGAACCACGAGAACGTGGGTGAGACCTTTAATCCCTCTGTGCTCCAATATGCCCCTCTATAAACTGCGGGGCAATTATGCCTGTTTGCCTCACAGCGTTGTTATGAGAATCAAATGAGATCATGGAAGTGACCATGCTTCAGGAACCACCCTCCACACACACGAGGTAAAAGAAAATCTGGATTCCGATTTTATAGTTTTCTGGCTCTTGCTTGAATTTATGAGGAGTTTCATAAATCCAGTCCTTTTTTATGGTTAGCTCTAATGCTTTATAATGATGCAAAAGGGGATGGGAATGTTCACTATAATCATGCAGAAGAAGATCTGGTACTTTTTCCTTCCCATCTCACTTAACCTCTGCTGAAGGTCATACACAGGACACAGCTACAGGTCCCTTTCCCTTTTGGGTCCTGTCAAGCCTTCAAGTGTAAAGGGAAGGGGTAGCGAGTTGTAGAATGTTCAAATTTTCTGAAATAGTCTGAGGAAAAAAGGACATTTTCCTCATGAGCCTGCCTAATCCACATTTTTCTAAAATGAATAGGTTTTTTTTCCTGCTGTCTCTCATTGCCTCTTTGTCTCCATCAAGCCCGTGACTGTCTGATTATAATCACCAATGGGCTGTGATATTTCTGCATGCTATCTTACCACAGTGTAGGGCCAATGTGTCCCCAGGGCCTCATAGGTTTGATCATGTTAAGGCTGCTGGAGTAAAAGGAACTTACTATATAATAATCCTAATTCCATAACAGTTCATGCACTTTGTCTTATTGGTGTTACTTTTAGTCATAATCAAAATGTAAAAGCACAGCACTTTTTAAGAGGTATACACTGTTTCACAGTGGGTTAACATTTGTCATGGAGAGGAACTTTTTCTATTTTATATGCAACAAATACTGTTTGAGCACCTACTATGTGCTTGACAGCATACTGAAAACAATAAAATAAGAGTATTGGTAGCAATAATAGTAACCATTGGTGGAGACCCTACTATTTGCCAAATACAGGTTTACAAGCTTTATATGAATGATATCATTTAATCCCCACAACAGCCCTAGCAAGTAAGAATTCTTGTCCCCGTTTATCAGTCGAAGAAGTGAGATGTAACAAAGTTAAGTAACTTGTACAAGCTCACCATTCAGCAAATATTTATTGGTTGTCCAAATCCAATACCAGCTGCACCTGCCTTTCTCTGAAGAGCTAGGTAACTACTCAGCCATGCAGCTTTTGAGATCCAGCTGCCTTCCCACATTTTTCTGCCAATTCCTCTGACTTTCTTTGTTTCCTGGATTCCAACTACGCTTTGCCCCAAGTGTGAAACTCCACTCTTTCCAGGTTTTTTACAACAAAAAATACCCTGCATCAAGCATTCATGTAATTTTCAGACTTTCAGAAGATTTGGAGGGCCCCTCTGAAGATACTCATAATCTTGCATTCTCTCTTTCTCTCTCTCTCTCTCTCTCTCCTTCCTACCCTCCCTCTCTCCAGGACTGACTAAATGTTTCTTCCTTCTTTTACAGAACTCTTCCATTCTCCACAATGTCTGGGTCAGATCTACACACTAAACCCATTACGATGCTCTGCAGAACCAAAGGTTTTCTATTCCACAAGCTCTACACTTCTTAGAAGGATGTTGTAAGTACAAAAACAATGTGGATTCAGTCCCGCTATAAGTTCCTATTGGGTATTAAACCAGGAGAAAGAGTTATGTACAAATATTAGCTATGCATTTTTTTTTTTAGTTCAATAGCATCACTAAACAAAAGATAGGGCCTAATTCTACTGACTGTCAGGCAATAAACTTTCCCAAATTTTAAAAATTGGAAGGAAAGGGGAAATAATATATCAAATACCTAAGTGCCCTTTACCCTTTACTTTTTTTTAACTTATTTTCTTTAGTTCCGTTGGAAGGAGTGGGCAAATTTTCTTTTCTGTAAAAGGCCAAATAGTAAATATGTTTACTTTGCAGACCGTACAGTCTCATCTGCAACTACATACCCTTTTTTTGTCTAATGACAGCAGCCAGACAACACATGAACAAATGGACAAATGGGCAGGGCTATATTTCAATAAAACTTTACTTATGAACATTGGAATTTGAATTTCACAGAATTTTCACATCATGGAATATTTTGGGGGTTTTCCTCAACCATTTGAAATATTTAATTTAAACATAAAATGTATTTAAATTTATATTTAAATACCTTATTTAAATATAAAAACCATTTTCCACTCCATGCTAAAGCTGGCAATGAGGGCTAGAGTTTGCCCACCACTGTATCATGATATCTTTCATAGTTGTAAAAGAAACTTACCATTCCTACATAGTTTTCTGCTCTGCCCTAGCTAAATTTCAAAAAAGTTCATGTATATTCTAGAAAAAAATGATACTCTTCCCACTGAGGGAAAGCAAGCCCATCTTCTCTTCCTCCTTCCTGTCATCTCAAAAATGCAATGTAACAATTTTTCTCAAGAACCATCTCCTCTTCTTTGAGCCAGTGTCTCCTAAAGGGTGTTCTGAAGAAAGAAATAAAAGTTGAAGGGGCGGGGGAGCCTGGCATTTGCTATTTAAGTTAGGTAAATGCTCACAGGAGGAAACTAAACGCGTTTGCTTTGTGCAGGACCTGAGGTTCTTCAGAGCTCTTAGTATGCTGATGGCAATTATGACTCTGCAGGGGGATGATATGGTAGCAGTGATTCTTGTCCTACTAGCCACTGAACTCTTTTTTCTTTCTTTCTTTTTTTTTTTTTTAAATGTTTAATATGTTATTATTGATTTTTAGAGTGAGTTGAAGGGAGAGGAAGAGAGAGAATCATCGATGAGAGAGAAACCTCAGATGTGGATGGGCTGCCTCCTGCATGCCCCCGGCAGGGCCGAGCCTGCAATCTGGACACGTGCCCTGCTGGGAATCGAACCGGCTACCTCTCGCTGCACAGAGCCACGCCGTCCGAACTGGGCTCTTCTTTCTTGAAGTATTTCCAGGAACTAATATTCTCAAATTTAGATGCCTGCTACTCAAAACGTTGTCCATGAACCAGCCGCAAAACAGAGGCTAACCCTGAAAACTTGTTAAAAATCAAGACTCTCAGACCACACCCCAGGCCTACTGAATCGGGATCTTCATTTTACTATGATTCCCAGGGGTTCTGAATGCACATTAAACTTTAAAAGCGCGTCTATAGAACAAAGCTTTGTAAATAATGCTTTAAGCTAAAAGAATAGCGGAGATCCAGAAACCAAAATAAGTCATAACATGAAATACTAGAAATTTTGGTTGCTCTGAAGTAAAATCCATTTCCCTGGGTTCAGGTATAGCTCAGACCAGTGATCTGCATTTTTTACTGCATTTTTACTTCCTTTCTAGTCACATTCTGATGTTTGCTTTTATTTGTGGTCTGTTTCTGTGCGGCTGGAGAGCGAGCGAGAGACGGGGCGATTGAAAATGAACTTCCAGAGAGCACAGTAACTGACTCCACTTTCAGAATGTCTTCAAAGCCTTTGGAAAAAAATCATTTTGGAGCCAGAAATGTAAACTAGAAGAAAAAAGCCATCATTTTCATTTCTGATTCTTAATAGAAACACTAATCTTCATTATCATACTCTTTTAATATAACCACGATTCTCTCAAGGGGCAGCTGGCCCTTTGTGTTATTTTTATTGCCTTGAGTGAATGCAGTGATGTCCCAGGTGAGAGCTCTAGCTCCTGGTCTTCACCACACACTTGCGCATCTAGGTAGAAGTAACAGCTCAATTTGACTAAGTAGATTTCTGAGGAACTTGTATAAAATTTACAACATAAGCTCTGCCTTCCAGATATGTATTTGTTTAAAACTCCCATGATCCATGGGCAAATAGTTTTCTTATATCTGTAAGTGCTTATTATGAATAACAGCTGTGAAGGTTTTCTGTACTTCACTATCGGCAGATACTGTTTGGAAACCAAATGAGATTCTTAAATAGGTTCATATAAATTTTCATTGTGTACCACTAGTTCAGATAGCTAAGGAACTTCTCTATTGCTATTCCCAAGCCCCCCTTTGCTGTTACTGTTATTAAATTGCATCATATGATAAGAAATATGTTCCTGATTGTATTCTGCAGTTATAACCCTGGTTCTATCATTCTCTCTCTCTCTCTCTTTCTCTCTCTCTTTCTCTGATATCTCAGAAAGAGTAATCTGATTTTAAGAGGCAGACATGAGGAACAATTGAAAATAAGATTCACATTGTCTCTATTTGCAAAAACCTCTTCAATTTCCAATTTGCTGGTCCCTTTGGTAAAAGGTTGAGCATATAAGATTAAAAAGCCATGAGACTCCCAGTGGACTGGAGCCGCATCTTCCTCAGAGGAAGCCGTGGAGAGGATTCTGCATTAAAGAGATGCGTGGGCCATGGAGCAGAACAAGCATCTGGGCCACATATGTAGTTAACATGGATGGATGGACACAATAAAAATATGTCTGCGCTCACTGTGCAGTAGTAACACAGAAAAGACTCCAAGTCCAGCAATAATTTTTACACAACTCCAGCGCCGTGATAGTCGGCGAAGAGTTGACCCTTGTTGTGGTCTATTGCAGAATAAAGCAGGGCCTCGAATAACATCGTTTCATTCAACATCTTTTCATTATAAAGTTGATGAGACCAAAAAAAATATCCCTTTCCGGCGGGGCCACTGTCTGTGTGGAGTATGCCTGTTCTCCTCATGTCTGCCTGGGTTTCTCTGGGGGCTCCAGTTTCACCCACATCCTAAAGGTGTGCATGGGAGGTGACCTGGCATGTCTAAACGTCCTGGTCTGAGTGAGCGCGGGTGGGAGTGGCCCTGTGACGGAGGGGCATCCTGCCCGGGGTTGGGTCCTGCCTTGAACCCTGAGCTGCTGGTGGAGGCTCTGGCCACCCACAACCCTGAACTGCAATAGGCAGGTCGGAAAATAATTATCTTACTTGTTTTCATCAATCTTTCTTAAAGGCATGCACAGCTCATTTATTTCAGTGTTAAATATGTGTTTGGGTCTTTATTTACAAGTTTGGTGATGCTTTCGTTACCAGAAATATGCTGTTGGAACTTAATGCTTCACAATTATTGCCTGTAAAGTATTATAATCGGTCCATCATACTTTGTTTCACTTCAAGTCACAGTTTTCAAGAGCTTGTCCATGACACTAGGTGGGGACTTGCTCTACAACTTTGCTTCTCCAAATGTCCACTGCATAATCTCACTATCACTTAAGTCTTTCATTTCTCCCCCACTGATTGGAGATGCCACTTTTATCATATACTAAATTCCTGTAGGTATTTTGAGTCCCTTTCATATGCCACAATGACACAGCTCTTAAAGTTTCAGTTAGGATCTGATAGGTGTAGTCTCCCCCTCGCTGATCTTCATCTGGCGACCCTTGCTTATTTGTTCTCCCAAATAAATTTTAGAATTAGCTTGTATAGGTTGGGGGAGGGGGGAAACCAACAAAATCATGTGCTATTTTTTAGGGGTTGGAGATGTTGCTAAATTTACAAGGTAACACCTACATTTTGTTGAGCATTCTTCCTAAGCACATGGTTTGTCTTTACCTTTGTTCCAAGTGTGCTTTTATCTATTATCAGGAGTGTTTCCTCAAATGGGTCTTTCACATTTTTTTATAGAGTTTATTCTTAAATATTTACCTTTGTTTTTACAATTTCAATAAGTCTTTTCTTCAATTATAGTGGGTATTTATATGCATGAAGGCAATTTTTTCAGTATATGAATTTAACATTAACTACCCTCTTAAACAACTCTATTGTATATAGTGACTTTTCAGTCAAATTTCCTGGGTTTTCAGGTACATAATCATATCATCTGCAAATAGTATAGCTCTGCATTATTCTCCTTTACAATTTTTCTACCTATCTTTTATATAATATTATATCTTTCTCTTATACAATTCAATTATATAATTTCTTACATATTATACAAAATAATATTATTATAATCTTATATAGTTACTTTTTCCTATATAATTGTGTTACCTAATATCCCAGCCTTGCTGAATAATAGTATGACAGTGGGCATCTTTGCCTTGGTTCTGACTTTAGGAAATATCTCCAGCATTTCCCCATTAAGTTAGATGTTGACTTTTGGACTGAGATATATTTATTTTATTAAGTTAATGAAGTGTCTACTGATCCCTTTGGTATTGAGTGTTTTTAAAAGAATAGGTGTTTAATTTTTTTAAATGCCTTTTCAAAGTCTGTGATGTTCATGATTTTTCTCCTTAGATTTATAATATGATGATTAATATTAACCTATTTCCTAATATTAAACATTCTTGCATTTCTGGCATAAATCTCCTATAGGTGTACATGATTTTTTTAATTAAGTGTTGAATTCTATTAGCTAATATTTTATTATTTTTTGCAGTAGTATTTATAAGTGAGCTTGTTCTATAGATTTACTTTTGCACAATCTTTGCCCAGATCCATTACTTTCTAAAGGGTTAGAAAACACAATTACAATATAATTCTATCATTTATTTATTTATCAATCACCAAATCTATTTATTATTAGATGGAATACTTCCATAAGGAGACACTTTCCTTCATAAACTATTTGTTATACTGAGGCTTAGCTTGACTGAAAATGCAGGTTAAATGCTCCATTTACCATTTTTAAGAATAATGAGCTGGTTTCCCAGTATTCTCAAAAAATAACAAATGAGGTTTTGTGGTTTTCCTTCAGTATTTCTGTGAACTCATGAATTTTGAACATGCTTGACGTGTTTTAATCATTGCCAGTTTTATTTTTATTGATACTCAAATTGTCCCATTTGGGCCAGTGGAAGCCTCTTAAGCTTAGTTTCAAGGTTTTTGATGGTGTCCCTGCTTTCTTGTGTGTGAAGACTTTCAGATTATTCATCTTGCACAACTCCTGTCTTAGGCCAGAATCGCTAAATCTTCACGCTTGCCCTCCGTCACTGAATCTGGTTCTACAGACCTGGCGGTTGAAGGCTCTGTGTGGACTGCACTCATCACAGCTGGGTGTTCAGTCCTTCCTGGGGGCTCTGGGTAGAGCATCCGTCTATTTACTACACATGCAAATGTTTCTCATGTGAATGAGGCCACCAGGAAAAGCGTAAGGTTCGGTCAACAGTTACTTTGTGTTACAGGGTAAGCAGAAGAGAAGCCCACAAAGGGAACAGTAAAAAAGACCAAACAGGTAAGAAAGAAAACCAGGGAAACGCAGTGCTACTGAAATATTTTTCTTTTTCCCACAATTGTGTCTCCTTTGCACCCAAATAATGCCTGGCCCATGGAAAGAACTGAGTACCTGTTCATTAAATAAATTAATGCTCGGCTGCTTCAAATTCTATAAGAAGTCCAGCTAAATCACAGGGAAGTATTCATTTGCTTTGTCAAATAAAGGTGATGGTGATCACGGTGATAGCAGGGCAGAGGCTCCTATGGGATGAGCAGTGCGCTGCGGTGATGCAGCGACGAGAGACCACGCAGCCGTCTGCTCGGCAAGTAGCTTCACAAAAGATGAGAGACTTAATGGTGGTTAGAAAGGGGGAGGGCAAGGAAATAGTCTTAATTTAAGTTGTTTTTTTGTTTAGCTCTGTTTCTTAGGTTGAAAGAAACCTAAGGATATTTATAGGCTGTGGGGAAAGAGCAAGGAGATGGGGGGGGGGATATTGTCACATACTAGAGAGAGAGAGTAGGATTTCTGAAGCAAGACTCCTGAGGAGGCAAAAGCTGCTATATTCATAACACAGGCAGATAATCAGAGCAGAAGGAAGGCCAAGGTTTCTACTAAGACAGGAGAAAAAGAGGGAAGCA